GTCTGCATGTGTGCACATGGGTGCTTATGTGTCTGTTCATGTGCATATTCTTCATGTCTGAGTGTAACCGTGTTTGTGTTCATGCATTGCATGTCCGTGTGCATGTTCTTGTGTGTGCCCATGATCTCGTGTGCCCATGTGTGCACGTGTGTGTTCTGCCTGTGCCCATGTGGCCTTCTTTTAGGTGCTGTCTGGAAGCAGCTGCAGGAACTGTGTGCCTGGGCTCTGCCTTCCTGTGGGCATTCGGCACAGAGCCCAGGGCCTCCCTGAGGTTGTCCCAAGGTGGGCAAGCAGGTGAGGCAGGCCTGGGGCCATGCAGAAGGGAGGTCTGAGGGGGGCAGGGTGGGCGCAGCACAGCCATGTCCCCAGCAGGCAAGAGCATTGTGCACTCAGGACCAGCATGTTTTGAATGGATCTTTTTATTTCTAATCTTTAGAAAATGCAAGAGCATGCCCCGTTGACACAGTTAGTTTGCACACACACACACAGAGTGACCGGCCACCACCCCTGGTCAGTAGCAGGTGCTGGCCGTGTCGGACAAGATCAGGGACACGTTGTACAGGGTGGGTTTACCGGTGGACTTGTCCACGGTCCTCTCGATCACCTTGTACGGCAGGGCCTCGTGGCCCACGACGCAGGTGAAGGGGGCCCCTGAGCTCCACTCCTCCTCGGTCACGGTCAGGGTGCTGAGGACATGGTAACGGCCTGGAGCCTGGGGCTCGGGCATTGGGGGGCTGGTCACGTAGTTGTCCGGGGTCAAGGGCTGCCCGTTCTTCACCCATTGCACAAACACGTCCGAGGGAGAGAAGCCCGTCACCAGGCAGGTGACAGTGGCCGCCTCCAGCAGGTTCAGCTGTTCCCGGGCTGGTGGCAGCACGTAGACGGCTGGTTTGTGCAGGGTCACCTCTGTGAGCAGAGAGACGGGGGTGAGCCCAGGTGGGGCCACGAGGGGCCCGAGGCCAGTGAGGTGGGGTGGACTGTCCCCCGTTGTTCCTGGACAACATTCTCACCACGTGCCCGGCCCTGCCCTCCCCCGGGGGTCTGGAGAGGGGACCTGGGAGCAGCGGGAAGAGGGCAGTGCCGGGAGCTGGACCTACCCGTGGACTTGGAGACGGTCTTCTTCAGGGGTGCGGGCAGGTCCGTGTGGGTCACGGTGCAGGTGAACTTCTCCCCTGGCTTCCAGTCATCCTCGCAGATGCTGGCCTCGCCCACGGCACTGAAGGTGCTGTTGGGGTGTCTCTCAGAGATGCTGGTGTTCGTTTCCAGAGCCTCGCCATTCTGACGTGTCCAGGAGATGTTCAGGCTGTCAGAGGTGCTCAGGTCTGTGACCAGGCAGCCCAGCTTGGCCGACTTGCTGAGGAAGATGCTGGCGAAGGAGGGGGTGATGGTGAAGACGCGGATGTCTGGAGACGGACCTGGGGAGGAGAGAGAGGCGGCTTCAGCGACTGGTCAGACCTGAAGTCAGGTCTTCCTTTCCTGAAGAGAGCTGTGGACTCTGCTGAGCCCCAGGGTCCTTCTGGTGTGGTCAGGGGGACGCTTGGCCTGTCCCGTCCCTGCCCGTGGCCACCCTGGGAAGCCAAAGCTCAGGGAGCAGATGGCCAGGTGTGGGGCAGCGTCTGCCAGACCGTAGTGGACACCCATGGGGTGGCCCTGGAAATGGAGGGGTGGGTGCTGCACCCAGGACAGGCCACTCACCACCACTGCACGTGGAGGACACGTTCTTCAGGACAGTCCCGCCTCTGTGATCCACGCGGCAGGTGAACGTGCTCTGGCTGAGCCAGTCACTCTCGGTGACGATCAGTGTGCTGGTGATCTTGAAGGTCGTGGGCCCAGAGCCTTTGTCCTCAGCCTCCGCCTGGCTGGTGGTGAAGCCGGACTCCACTGGCTTTCCATCGCGCAGCCAGGACACTGTGATCTGTTTGGGGCTGAAACCCGTGGCCTGGCAGATGAGCCTGGTCTTGCGCTGGCTGGGTCCGGAGGAGGAATCGCAGGGCGGGATGAGCACGTCCACTTTGGGGCGCAGCACTGTGAACACTGGAGTGAGGGGACAAGGGGTCAGCCCGGCCTGGCCCACCCCCGTGCCTGCCACGCCGGGCTCTCTCTTCCGTGGTGGTGGAGGGGACGGTTCTCACCTGGGAAGTTCACGATCACGTCTTTGTTGGTGGTGCCGTGCAGCACTTTGCACACCAGGTGCTCGTCAGTGCTCTGGGGCACACTCTCGGGCAGCAGCACCTGCGAGGTGGCCGCGTACGTGCCCTGTCTGTGGACCGTTGGGAAGGTCTTGACATTGCTGCGGCTCACCGAGGAGCTGTTCTTGTAGTTCCAGGAGAAGCTGATGGTGTCGGGCAGGAAGTCCCGTGCGAGGCAGCCCAGGGCCACTGTGCTCTTCTGTGACTGGGGGCTCTCACAGGACACCAGGGGGAAGACTTTTGGGGAGGACAGGCTCACTGAGGACCCGAGGGGGACAAAAGAGAATGAGGAGGGGGTGAGAAGCTGCCTTCTTGAGCCAGCTGCAGAGTCTCTTTCTGAGCCCCCCATCCTGCTGAGGCTAAGCCCACCTTCAGGACTCCAGGGCTTGGGCTGACCTGGCCAACAGTGGGCTGGGAAGCTATGGTGAGGCCTGAGGTCTAGGTACGAGGCTGCTGGGTGTGGGAGGAGACAGCCTCAGCCACCACCATACTGAGGCGCCCATCACAGCACACTGCCTTCCCATCCTTGCCGTCCCCACCCTGCTCTGCTGTCCCTGTACCCAGGGCATCGCCTGTATGCTGGGTCTGGGATCAGAGTTGTTCAGGGATCAGGCGTGGGCATGGACCAGCCTTGTCTTCCCTTGGATGTCAGACTTGTGGGGCTGTCATGCTCAGCCCTGAGCACAAGGCGCGTGAGGAGCCAGGAACCACACACAAGGCAGGTAGAGAGGGGCCCCCACCAGCTCCCCGAGCTGCCCTGATCTCAGTCACACCCTAAATCTCCCAGGGCAGACAGCTCAGGACTGTGTGTGGGGTCAGAGGGAGAGTGATGGGAACCAGTGTAGACTCTGCTTGGTGAGTGTATCTAAGAATGGCCAGATCATGTAGATCAGCCGAGCACAATGTGAGCTAAGAGGATGTAGCACGGCCAGCTCATCCCAGCTGCAGGAATGTAGGCCATCCCCGGTCAGTCTAGCCCCAAGCAGCTTAATGAACAAGCCCAGCCCATCCCAACCAGTCCATGCCTGCTGAACCGAGCTCAGTTACCCTAGTTAACCCAGCTCAACCACCAAACACAAGAAGGCCAGCCTAGTCCAGCCCAGCCCAGCCAAGCTCAGTTCAACTCAGCTCAGCTCAACTCAGCTCTTCCCAGCTCAGCCCACTTCAGCTCAGCCCAGTTCAGCTCATCCCAGCTCAGCCCAGCCCACTTCAGCTCAGCCCACCTCTGCCCAGTACAGCTCATCCCAGCTCAAGCCCAGCTCTGCCCAGCCCAGCTCAGCCTAGCTCAGCTCAGCCCAGCTCAGCCTAGCTCAGCTCAGCCCAGCTCAGTTCAGTTCTGCCCAGCCCAGCTCAGTTCAGCTCTGCCCAGCCCAGCATATTTCAGCTCAGCTCAGCTCACGTCAGTCCAGTTCAGCCCAGCTCAGCTCAGCCCAGTTCAGCTCAACCCAGCCTGGCCCAGCTCGGCCCACTTCAGCTCAGCCCAGCTCTGCCCAGTACAGCTCAGCTCAGCCCACTTCAGGTCAGCCCAGCTCAACCAAGCCCAGCTCAGTTCAGCCCAACTCAGCCCAATACAGCTCAGCCCTGCTCAGTTCAGCTCAGCCCAGTTCAGCCCATCCCAGCTCAGCCCAGCCCATCCCAGCTCAGCCCAGCTCAACCCAGTACAGCTCATCCCAGCTCAGTTCAGCTCTGCCCAGCCCAGCATATCTCAGCTCAGCTCAGCTCACGTCAGTCCAGTTCAGCCCAGCTTAGCTCAGCCCAGTTCAGCTCAACCCAGCCTGGCCCAGCTTGGCCCACTTCAGCTCAGCCCAGCTCTGCCCAGTACAGCTCAGCTCAGCCCAGCTCTGCCCAGTACAGCCCACCTCAGCCCAGCTCAGCCCAGTACAGCTCAGCCCAGCTCAGTTCAGCTCAGCCCAGTCCAGTCTAGCTCAGTTCAGCTCAGCTCATTCCAGCTCATCCCAGCACTGCCCAGCCCAGCTCTGCTCAGCTCAGCTCATCCCAGCTCTGCTCATCCCAGCTCAGCCCAGGTCAGCTCATCCTAGCTAATCCCAGCCCAGCCCAGCTCAGCCCACTTCAGCTCAGCCCAGCTCTGCTCAGCCCAACTCAGCCCAGTACAGCTCAGCTCAATTCAGCTCAGCCCAGTCCAGTCTAGCTCAGCTCAGCTCAGCCCAGCTCAGCACAGATCAGCTCAGCCCAGCTCAGCACAGATCAGCTTAGCCCAGCTCAGTTCAGCTCAGTCCAGTCCAGCCTAGCTCAGCTCAACCCAGCCCAGCCCAGCTCAGCTCAGCCCAGCCAAGCTCAGCCCAGTTCGGCTCAGCACAACTCAGTCCAGCTCAGCTCAGCTCAGTCCAGCTCAGCTCAGCTTATCCCAGCTCTGCTCAGCCCAGTCGAACTCAACCCAGCTCAGCTCAGATCAGCTCAGCTTAGCTCAGTCTAGCTCAGCCCAGCCCAGCTCAGCCCAGTTCAGCTCACCCAGCCCAGCTCAGCCCAGCTCAGCTCAGCTCAGCCCAGCTCAGCCCAGCTCAGCTCATTCCAGCTCAGCCCAGCTCAGCCCAGCTCATCCCAGCTCAGCCCAGCCCAGCCCAGCTCAGCCCAGTTCAGCTCAGCCCAGCTCAGCCCAGGTCAGCACAGATCAGCTCACCCAGCTCACCCAGCTCACCCAGCCCCACTCAACCCAGCCCAGCTCAGCCCAGTTCAGCTCAGTACAGCCCAGCTCAGCCCAGTAGAGCCCAGCCCAGCACAGCTCAGGTCAGCTCAGCACAGCCCAGATTAGCTCAGCCCAACTCAATCCAGCTTAGCTCCGCCCAGCTTAGCCCAGCTCACCCCAGCTCACTTCTGCTCAGCCTAGCTCAGCTCAGCCTAACCCAGCTCAGCCCAGCTCACCTCTGCTCAGCCTAGCTCAGCTCAGCCCAACCCAGCTCAGCCCAGCTCTGCCCAGCTCAGCTAAGCCTAACACAGCTCAGCCTGCCTCAGCCCAGCTCAGCCTGGCTCAGCCCAGCTTTGCTCAGCCTAGCTCAGCTCAGCTCTGCCCAGCCCAGTTCAGCTCAGCCCAGCTCTGCCCAGCCCAGCTCTGCCCAGCCTAGCTCAGCCCAGCTTAGCCCAGCTCACCCCAGCTCACCTCTGCTCAGCCTAGCTCAGCCCAGGTCAGCCCAGCTCACCCCAGCTCACCTCTGCTCAGCCTAGCCCAGCTCAGCCCAATCCAGCTCAGCCCAGCTCTGCCCAGCTCTGCCCAGCCCAGCTCAGCTCAGCCTAGCTCAGCCTAGCTTAGCACAGCTCAGCCTAGTCCAGCCCATCTCAGCCCAGCTTTGTTCAGACTAGTCTGGTTTTGAAAGCCCAATGGAATAGTAGTGGCCAGAAAGAGTCATCCTGGCAGACCCCTTGCCTCTGCTAAACCCATCTCACTGCAGGATTTCTGAACAGCTGGATGGGCTTCCGTCCCCTCTGTGTCCTACACTCGACACCCCAGGTGTCCGGTCCTCGTGCCCCAGCTCCACCTGGCTTTTGGCTCCAAAGTAGTACCAATCACTAAAGCCCTTTCACCATCTGGGTAGAATATTTCCTGGCAACTCTAAATTCATTAAACATCTTGAGATTTCCGGTGATAAAATGACACATTCCTTTTGTTCTAGACCAGCCACGTTGCCTCTGCTCCGAGAGCCGACTTCTCCCCTCTCAGCCTCCACTGCCCTGGAGCACCCGCTTAGCTCGAATTCCTCCCTTCCGAGTCTAAGATAAGCCCCTGACTTTAAATTCCTTCTAGATAAAAATCATCATTGAAAACAACCAGGAAATCCATTTTATCAGAATTTGTCACTTAAAATTCTGCTGTTTACCATAAAGCTACGTGGAAGGCGTAGGCTAGTTTCAGGTACATGATAACGATCTAAAACTCAAAGCTGCATCTATAACTTAAATAGAGACAGTGCGAGAGGTCCCTTGTGTATTTTAAAGCATCACGAAGCATACAATCAACGGTTAATAGGCAATAGGAAAGCTCATGCCAGTTTTTTCTTGAAATATCTTTGAGGGGAAGTTAAACGTGAGTGACCCAGACTGTGGTTACCCAAAGGACTTGCACAGATGAGCCTCTTTCTCCTCATCAAGCAATAATGACAGACTGACTTCCCTTCAAGTAGAAAGAAAACATCAAATGCAAATGTTTAAGAGAGCACACTTGGCAGCGTGGCTGCCCTCGCTTACCACGTTAGGAGTCCGGTCGCTGGAAAGTCCGTGGGATCTTTGACAGGGAATAATTCCTCCAAGTCCATCAAAAATGGCTGATGCATAGGTAGCCAGCTGGCTGGTGGCAGAAGCCACGGCCACACATTCCCGGGTCTGGGTGCTCCCGGGAGACCCAAAGCCAATTCCAGGCCCAGCGGCAACCTGCGCCCAGACCCCACACGGGCTTCCCTTGACTGAGGAGCTGAGCCACCGACTGGAGACAAACTGTCCACCTAACGTGCCGCTAGGGTGCTTTCTTCTGCACTGTCTGACTGGGTTCTATCTTAAGCCACCAATTAACATGTCTAATAAAATAATTCAGGAGAATTATATACGTTTGACCTTTAATTTGTTCTAAAATGAATACTTGAAAAGTGGTCTTGAAAAATACTGAAATGAAGGCATTTTTAAAATCAGAATGTCAAAGTGTTTTTCCTTAATCACAAAGAGAAAATTAACTAACTTAAAAAATTGTGGACACAGCTATTGTAAAGATCATGCTTTGGAGTATTAAAAAAAGGTTTGAAATTAATTATCATATGAAGGAATAAAAAAAGTAACTTAAATAAGTTTTATGAATACATTAATAAGCTGTCCCTAAGACCATTTAATTTCTTAAAGATTTTACTCTGAAAATGAATTCAATTTAGAAGTTGGCAGGTTAAGTTGGAACAAACTAGAAGTTGATAAGCTAAGAATGGAACACCAAATTCAAATAGTGAAAAAAGGAACCTTTCCAGTTTCTGCAGCACCCTCGCCTTATTTTAGAAATGCAAATTACCCAGGTGTTGTTCTGCTGGTGGAACACTTTCAGATCTGCGGGGCTCGGCAAAATATCTGAAAACCACCTCTTCATAAGCATAAGCTGTAAATGTGCCCATCCTGTTTTCTTTGCTTCCTAAAATAGACTCTCGCTGTGACCTGCTTCCTGCCACCTGCTGCAGGTGGCCGAACCCCCGCTCCGTGGCCATCTTGACTCTAACCACCCATGCCCAGCATCACTCAATGAATTTAAAAAATAAACTTGATTTATTATCGACAAAACTCAGCCCTGAATCGGGGGCTAACAGTGCCGCATTATGGCTTCTTGGCTGAACTTGTGTCAGTATCCACTCCAGAAAGGCCTGACTCATGGTTGTTAATCAAGTAATAAGAATTCTAAATACTTTGGGATTTAAAACATTTAATATACTTGAACATCTCTCAAGTTTTCAAGTCACAATTTTCTGAGCCATTTTCTCAGGATCCGCTTCAACGGTGCCCTGTCTTTTAATATTTAGTGACCTTGCCCTTTCAGATGAACACACCATTCTCTGCAAGAACACATCATTTAAGATGAACACACCATTTTCTGCAAGAATACTTTC